AAGCAATTGTCGAGGAAAATCTAAGGTTTACCAAAGATTAGTTGCTCAAACGCAGTTGGAAGTATAGTGTTAACTTTGGAAGGAACATATTGATATATTCTAAAAAGAGGCAACTCTTGTTCAGAAGTGATAGTCAAAGTGGGAATATGGAGTTGTCTCCATAGGTTGAAGTTATCTGTATAAGATTAGAAAACCTTAATGAAAGAAGCATCTTCAAAGCAATGTACTTTGAATATGAGACTTAATTTCCATGAAGTTGATCATCATTGAAATACCCTGTAATGATTGTTGGCATGTCTTTGTGACTTTGTACATATTCATTACAAGAGGGTCTATGCATATAAGCTTAAATTCTAAACAGATTTCGATAAATGATAGGGATTTGGAATTCTTACATTTACGATAAGGATTTGGGAGTGTGAAATTAGAATCATTGAAATTATGTTCAATTCATCTATTTCACAAAGTAAAGATCATATAAAAACATAGAATGCATACTTGGTGTATGGCAAAGCTATTGTTTAGAAAAATGCTTGGAGCATGGGACAACTAGTGTTTTTTAATTCAAGTATAAAGTTGATAAAACTGAAACAATGAATAATGAGTAATCAGTATGGTGATAAATAAAAATTGTTTTATTTATATTCATAGGTTTTGATACCATATTGGATTCAATTATTCTTATGTTTCATTTTGCATGTTTTGACTTCCAGAATAAACTAGGTCATTCTTCCCGAATGACTAAGTTATTCAAACCATCCATAGTCCGTCATATGTTGGAAGTAGATATGAATCAAGACTGTCATGAGTTGTCTTGTAGATGTCCCAAGTTGTTTGACATAGCAAAATATTGCTACAACACTAATGAGTACTCATAAGTTCTGAGTATTGGATTCAACCCGCGCTCGTTTGAATCACATCATGGATTTTATCACGAGTGATCATGAGACGATAATATCTTATATTCTTCAAACCTAGAGATATGAGTTGTTACTATGAGTTGGTTGTACATTGATTGCACAAAAACACATTCGGTAACTCGATGTTATAAAACGTGCCTTTGTGTATGATTCAACAAGTAGTAGAACAAGCCATATGAGTCGTAGTTTATCCATTCCTTTTACCTTCGCGATAAAAGCGATATCAGTGGGCCCTTGATGATTTAGTGATGACACATGTGAGTGCTTGGCCAAGCCAGGACTGATTTGATTTGTTCAATCAGTCAGTCGTCATAAATCGGAAATTAGGAAACAACAAATGGACAGATAGAATGATTGATAATCCATGTCTCAGTCCATATGATATCTAGAATGGAGGAATATATGATCCCTTATCTAATGGACAAGTCATTGACAAAGGTCAGAGTTCGTTGACAAGGTCAGAGTTCGACAGCGGCTTTAAGAGCTATGATTGCCAGTTAGGTTTTGAAGTCATACTCAATAATAGTTTTAGACTTATCCAAGTGGGAAACTATTGGATTAATGTCTAAGTCCATAACTATAATTGGTATGTACTTGACCCGACTCGGCATGGTGCATTTGGGTTGCACTTCACCCGAACAATTTATATGGATAATCTTGTAAGAATAGTATAAGTTATGATTTATTAATATATTATAAGTTCTAATATATTAATATGAAATCATATTATTTAATTAGTATTGATCTTAAAATAATTTGGAATTAATTTAGTGATCATAATTATGACTAAGTAAATATGAGCTCAAGTATTTATATTGTGTGGGCTAACGCTTCTTTGGAAAGGGCTAGGCTTGCATGGTAAGTCCATGGATAGTCCATGGAGTTTAACCCATGGATCTCATGGAAATGAAAAGACATGGGTATTAGGGTTTACATGGATGTAACCCTAATCCACCACACTATATAAAGGAGTACTTGGCACCTAAAATGGCACTAGTATATGTGTAATACAAGGTGTGGCCGATTTCTACTTATGTGTTACTATTCTCTCAAGTTTCCAAGGTTTGTAGTGATTTGTGATTCCACTTGAGGCTTCCACACTATTGGGGCTAAGATCTTAAAGAACTAAGGAAACAACCACAATAAAAAGGTATGTCATCAAACTAATACTTCGTAGTATAAGAGCTTCATAATATGTTAGTTTGGATTAAAGCCTTGGAAAGTTCTTATCTGCATGTTTCATAGAGAAAACATAGATCCAAGTTTTATAGGGTTGCATGTACACCATAGGAGTGTTAGAATGCTCAAAACCCAACAGTGTCCCCAACCGACTTGATCCACCCAATTTTATAAGGGTTGGGATGTTTTATGGTGGGTAAGTGTAAATGATGAACAATGTCGCATGATACAATATTCTCGGTGCTTCCGCTGTCAATTATGACATCAAAGATCTTGTTATGCACAACACATAGGGTATGGAAAAGATTATGTTGTTGTGATGGTTTCTTGGGTTCTTTAGGAGCTAACATGATGCGACACACCACATAATATTTGGTTGTATAATTGTCCCAAGAGGCCTCATCCGCCGGATAACATACTTTTGCGACCTCTTCTTTAGTCTCGGTGTTGCTACCTTCTTCATCCAACTCTTCCTCCCTGGTGGTTAAATTTACTTTGCCAAGGAAAAGGCCCTACAATCACTTGAGAGGTGACCAAGAACCCCACATTTAAGACATTTTCCCGCTGCTGGTCAAGGATAAGGGTTAGCAATAGTTTTGGTGGGTTGTGAAGAGAACGTAGCAATACGTTTCCCACGATCTATGGTAGGGGTTTATTTATTGGTTGGGTGTTTTCAATGATTTGTTCAGGGAATGTGGTGGAGGGTGGTTTGGTACAAGTATAGTTCGTGTTCCAATTTTGTTTATTCTTGAGGATTTAGGATTCTGTTCGAATTGCTAAATTGTAGATCATCTAAGTTGTAAACATGAACCAAAGAAATCTTGCCTTGAATATTGGGATGTGGTCCATTAATAAATCGATAAACTTGTTGTGATTCTGTTTCGGATAAGTTATGTCTGGAAACTAATCTATGAAATTCAGAAGTATATACTTCTACTGTACGGTCTCGTTGCGTGTATTTTTGCAACATAGTAAACAACATTCGATCATGATTAGGGGAAAAAATCGTCTATCTAACTCTCCTACCATGCGATCCTAGTAAGAAATATGTAACTTAGTTTGTCATTCTCGATTGATCTGCATGTTTTTCCACCAATTTTGGGCTCCTCCTTTAAGCTTATTAGCCACCAACGTGACTCACTTCTCAATTGGAATCTCATAAAATTGAAAAAAAAAATTCTATTTCACTTTTCTAATCTAAGAAATCTTCGATGTTCATGGATCCATTGAACGACGGAACATCATTGACTCGTTGCTTGTAATCAAAGCCATGGTTGTCCCTGCGCCTTCCAAACCGACCCCCTCTGACTCTTCATTTCCATTATCATCTTCCTAATCGGAATCCTCCCGAAAATGACCATGTTCTTGTTGTCTCATTCGCTCTTCTGGTCGATTCCTTCGCCGATCTAGTTGATGGTTTTGACGATTTGGTTGTTGATTGGGTTGGATATTTTGGTTTTTCCGGCTTTGTGTAGTAGTGAGGGATGTTAAACCTTCTGTGATCGTTTGTAGAGATTGTTGAACCGTGAGCATGGCTTGTTTGATCCTTGCGATTTGAACAGAGTCGTCTTCTTCTCTGTCCATTGCACGCTCTGATACCAACTAACTGATGTACCGAAAGCAACAGGTTTTAGACAAATTGGGTTATGTTTTTTCGGACACAATGAAAACCCGGGGATAATACGTGTATCATACACAAGAACACAAATAGATAGAGAAACTTTTCTCTGACTCTTTTGTATTGATTCAAAAGTAACCTAAAACAAAATGCACAGTCTTGACCTGTTTATATAATGCTAACAAATGTAGCCTAGAAGAATTCTATAACTTGTAATTTAGGAAACTAAATATTGGAAAAACAAAGAAAAGACTCGACATAAATAAAATAACTTTGCTTGGGCGCTACTGCTTTGTATCCACATTATTTGGTACTATCAGATTCCCATCACTTCTCTTACGTATAACTAGTAGAGGATAATTTGGCATTCTTTTTCTAGCCAAATTGCGAGTTAAGTTTGTTGGTCTTGTAGTAACATAGTACATATAGGTGGCCAATATGTGAAATATTGTAACACAATGGTAGCTTCGGTCGTATCATACATAAATATTATGACCTTACATTTTTTATGCTTATTTGATTTGATCTTTGGATATATTAAAATCTACAAATCTAGTTTGTTAAATTTCAGGCTAGAGACAAAGTTCATTAAAGAAATCATGAAGGACATCCACAGTAGATTACATGTACGCTTAAGGATTGCTCAACCATTACATATTGGGATGGAATAGAATATTCACTTTCTTACTTCATGGTTGAAAGATGGGTCCTCACATACTGCAGTTATACTAACTACTTTGGGTATGGGTGGGATCGGGAGGACATATTTAGCCAAACGTGTCTATGGGTTATATTCTCATGAATTCCATATAAGTAGCTTTATTCACAAGGAAATGTGATGGAAAGTTTAATGGTTGCTTGATTTACAAGAACAAATTTGCAATGACATTTCAAAAACAAGTTCAATTAGATTTCATGATGTGACAATATACACCACAAAGATAGAGAATGCACTAGCCCGTAAAAGGTTCTTTATAGTCCTAGATTATATCATAACTCTTGATCAGTTGGATGCATTACATGGAAGCAAAGTTTTTCATACACAAGATAGATGGTTGACCGAGAGTTGTTCACTATTCAAAGCAAACAATAAACCCAAGCATGAAAGGCATTTGCTTCTTAGATTAGATGAGATCCAATCACTACAACTTATGTGTTTTCATGCATTCATGTGAAACTATCCAAAGGAAGGTTATGAAGAGGTTTCATATAAGCTTGTGAAATATTGTTAAGGAAATCCATTGGATCTTGTAGTTTTGGGCAAGTCTCTATATAATAGAAGTGTAGCATATTGAGAAGGGTGCATAGACGGGCTAAAGAAAGAAACAAGTTCCCATATAATTAACGTCTTGAGAATGAGCTTTGATTCTTTGCCATAGAACAATGATAAGGAGTTGTTTAAGCATATTGCTTGTTTTTTTTTTCTGAAATAGAAAGGGATGTTAGTGAAACAATATTAAAGGCATGTGGTATAATCACAAGATCTGGAATCACGAATTTCACTGATAGGTATCTTCTTAGTATAGGATCGAATGGTGAATTGAAGATGCATCAGTTGGTTCAAGAGATGGGAAGGGTTGAGGTACATCAAGAATCACTTGACAAGCCATAAAAGTGAAGTCGAATGTGGTCTGATAAGGAGTCATTCAGAGTGTTGAAACAAAAAAAGGTGAGAGTTTATGTATACTTGTTGGTAGTATTCATATTCAGATTACTTTGTATTATCTTATTTTTATTTTTGGCCTTCCATTTCTCCTTAGGGTAAGGGAAATGTTCTAGAACTATCCCTTGATATGCGCATGCTTAACAAAGAGAAGTTAGGAGCATCATTTGAGGTAAAAACAGATGCATTGAGTAACATGGATAGTCTAATGCCACTTTAACTCAATTTTGTGCACATGAAAGGGTCTTATGAGAACTTTCCGGATGAATTAAGAGTCTTGTGTATGTATGAGTTCTGTTTAAAGTCTACACCTTTAGACTTACAAATGATGAATTTGGTTGCTCTTGACATGTCATATAACTATATTGAATCATTTGTTGGTTGTTATAGTAATACACAACGACTTGAGAAGAGGCAAAAGGTAACTTATCTTCATTCATTATTCATTAATGTTGAGTTGATGAAATTCAAAACCGTTATAACTTATTTCTATTTTTTGTAGTTGGATTGATGGTACTTAAAAGACAAAAAGTTGCTTAGAACATTGAAGATTCTTAATTTAAGTTTCTGTAAACAACTTCGTAGTTTTGGTGACTTTGGCAACTCCCTACACTCCAGATGGTAATAGTTAGCAATTGAATTGGTTTGGTTGAGGTTGGTGAATCAATTGAACAATATATTGAACTTGTCTTCATTAATCTGAGTTATTGCAAGAAGCTTAAAAATTTCCTAAAAACATAGGCGTGTTGAAGAACGTTAAAACACTATTGCTTGATGGTTGTAAGCTCAATGATTCTCAAATCGAGGATAGGGATATGGTCATAAACATAAGAAACTCTTCCTCCGCCTTTATGAATGCTATTCCAAGTGATTTGAAGTTGTTTACAATTTCTTTACCGAGGTCTGTACTCTGTAGTAAGGTTGTCACTGATAATTAATAATCTATCCACTGAATTCTTTCCCATGGACGCTAATTGCCTATCCATGTTAAATGAATTATATTTGAATTACAATCCTATAATTTCCATGCCCAGCTATATGAGAAACCTTTCTAGGCTTGAGATTCTTAGTATGGTGAATCGTAAAAAATTGAAGTCGGTTAAGCTTCCTCCACGTACACTAAGCAGGTTGTTCCTCTTTTCTCATCATGGGAGTTTTGTAAAGAAAGATGTACTTGATCCGGAAATGTCCCCACTAGAGTTATCATCAAACTGGTGGTTAGATTTCACACCAGGTCCTATGAAATCGAAGGCATGATCAAAATCCAAGCAATGATGGGTGTTGAGGAAAACGTATTACGTAGCTTGGGTTGGATTAATGTATACTTCCTTACCAAAGGGTGTGTGGGAACTAATCCTTTGGAATTTGAAATCCAAGTTTTGTTCAGTTAGTTAACTGTCAGTAGTTATGTGAATACGTATAATATAATTGTTATGTATGTATATTTAATTAAGGTGGTCATATTTTGTAGAGAATATTTTATGAATTTAGAATATTCAGCACAAAGTATGAGGTGGACGAGATGTCGTGATGCTTTAAGTATAGAAGCTTGGGGCAATCAATCATTTACCATCCCATCATCATCATCATCTCCCAACAACCTTACTAGACTCAACTTCTTCTTTCTGCACACCATGAAACCTCCCAATGACGACAATTAGTAATATAACAACGAATCGCATGTGGATATACAAACTTTACACGAACAGATATTGTGTAGATCCAAAGTGTTTGGTAGTGTTAAGTCATTGGATGTTTGGGATGAACGATATGGAGGCTAGTGATCATGTTATGATTACTGTTACATCACCATATAATGAACTTGTAAAGGAATGTGGGGTGAGTCTTGTGTATAATGACAGAGAAGAAGATGCATTTGCTTATTACAAGTCATGGAAAAACATAACTAATGGAGTTCCTACCCAAAGGTAGGAGGTAATTTAATTTCTGGCAAAGAGAAATTAAATTGCTTCATACTTTTTATGCCTACAAATGTTCCTACCCAATAAAATTATGACAAGTGTTATCATTCCATATTTTTTTAACTAACTCATTAAGGCTATATTAGGAATATATCAAATACAATTAAATTTAATGGTAATTTTTCATAATTTTAGTGGGTAGGAATAATTGTAGACATAAAAGGTAGGAGGTAATTTAATTTCTCTTTCAGATTATATATTTACATGTCATATTCATCTTCGATAAAATTGTACCTGTTTCTCCGTATTGGTAATATGGATTTGTAATTTTGATTCAATCGAGATTGTATTTCTTTCATTCTTTGATCGAATTCATTGTTTGCAAATTCCTTGTCTTATTAAACCACATCTTTTTATCTAGAATAGATTGTTAGTACTCTTGAGCTCTTTAATCAATATCAATTTCTATTTACTTCAGTTTGGAACTCAATCGAAAATAAGCTTGACACATAACGAATTCAATTGAAGTCGTGAATAATCGATGGTCAATCAGAGTAATTGAAGAATCTATAATTTTTTTTGATATTGGGTGCTCTATTTGAAAAGTGGTTAAGTGCTTTGATGAATTTGATATTTGTAATTGCTTGTCTGGCATTTGTTTTGAGTCTCACTATCAGATCAAAAGTACTCGCAATCGATACGATGGCTCACAAATTTGGTATAGACATTGGATGTCAAATGGGAAGTGGATAGCAGATACTTGAAATCGATTACAGATATCGATTTTGGAATATCGAATGGTCAAAGGGTATTGATTTTAAATATTGAAGACTTGGCTATCAAGTGGTTTAATTGTGAATAGGTTGTGACATCCCGGAATTTAGGGCTAAATCTGTAGACAGTCAGGTCACCACGAACCTCTCCGTATCTCGACCGAACGAATTTTAATACATATTATAGTAAAAATATTCTTAAAAGTCTGAAAAATCAGACGTTTTAGACCAATTAGATGCAAAACTTTAAACTTGAATCCCCGGAGTTCTACAACTCAAAATATATACTCCCTCCGTCCCAAATTGATAGTCCACTTTTGAGTTTTGAAGTATTTTTTTCTTCAACTTTGACCTTAAATATTTTTATTTGTGTTACATATTACTTGATAAAACATATAACAATGAAAAAAACATTTAAAATACAATCAATTCATATATTTTGCATAAAGTATTATCGACCAAAAACAAAAATATTTAAGGTCAAAGTTGAAGAAAAAAGACTTCAAAAGTCAAAAGTGGACTATCAATTTGGGACGGAGGTAGTATATATATATATATATATATATATATATATATATATATATATATATATATATATATATATATCCGTTCGGGTTTGTAAAATCCTAGAATTAAAATCTATTGATCGGAACCATTCAAAAAATTACCTGACATCGAGAATTTGACGCGCGAAATGAGAGTCGTTTTTTAAGGCTAAAAGAATTTAAATGAAAATTAAGTATTCATGGGGCATCGTCGATGAGAAAAAAAAAACATCATGCATCCTTCGTCTTTCTCTCAAAAGTCAAACTTTCAAAATGAAAATAACACCAAGTTTATTTTCTTTCGGATCAGAAAATACCACTCCAAAATGGTGAAAACATTGGGATGTCCTCCCCTTCCTTGTTAAGAAACGTTCAGCCACCCACAAACCTCCCTACGTCTACTAATGCTGCTAGTTGCTTCCCTCGTGACTGCATAACTATCAAAGAACCACCTCTCACTCTCCTGTGTGTTTTGCTACCGGAAAAAGAAGGAAGCACCGACGAGGAGGCAACAAAACTACCACCCTCGTCGTCACTACTGTTGGAGATAGTCACTACCGCGGTACCTGCCACCATCTGCCACCTCCCACTGCCTCTCTTTCCCTTCGTGACCGCCAAAAGAATAACAACCGGAAGCAGCAGAGGCCACCAGGGCAGCCCCTGCCACCCCCATCGCTGTTGCTGAGGAGTCGACCATCACCGTCGCCGACCTTTGCTACTGCTGGAACCACCATGAAACCACCTCTTCCACTCCATTGCTTCTCGTTTCCCTGTTGATCGGAACAATCCATCACCACTAAATGCCTCTGTTGTGGATAGGGGAGGACGCAGGATTTCATAGTAGGGGTTGCACGGGAGGATTAGGGGTTGCACGATAGTAGAAAAAATAAAAATTTTAAAAAATTTAGAAAATTTTTCCAATGCGGCCGGAAAATTTAGGGGTTGCCGATGCCACCCCGGAACCCCCCTAAATCTGCCCCTGGCTATGGAGTTCCGACCACCACCTTGCCGCCATTGTAGTCCGCCACCCGCCTAGCATTCGTCGGTAACGATCACCACCAACTCCTCCTTCTTCCCTTGTGTTATTCCCGTCAAGTGTAAGCAAGGACGAAGCAGACTGGAGTAGCCCTCACAACCGCTGTCGGAGACAGCAGTTACCCATCACCGCCGTTGCCACTTACTTCCGAAGTCACCACCACCGACGACTCCACCACTGTCGCTGCATTCGACCGTCGTCGCCGCCTCCGCAATTTAATTTCCATCATCGATGATCCCAGCCAAGGCCAAGAGACCCAACGAGAAACCCGATTTCCTTCTTAACGGCACCTGCAACTCGTCAATTGCAAGAGACGGGTACTGTTCAAACTCCCACATATTTTATTTAAATGTAACCCTAGAGATCGAGAATATATCCACTTTTGACCCCTCAGTGAAATAAATCAGTCATTAAGCCCAAACATCCTTTGGATTTATCCAGATTTAGTCCCTCCACCATAAAACCTAACAGATTAAGTCCTAAAACCCAAATTAGTTTGAAATATGGACATTTAGCCCCTGGTTTGAGAATATTTTGCAAAATTAGTCCCTAGAGTATGATTTTGGCAAAATCAACCCCTAGAGTTTATTTACTTTATCAAAGACCACCCTATACTTGATAGTTAATACCAAAACTACCATTTTGGGTTTATTAGGCAATTTAAATACAACCGGTGATTCGTTTTAAGAGCAAGGAGCGTCACGAAATGACTTTCACGACAAGTTTCACCCTCGAGATTCGGCCCCTTTTTAATATTTTTATGCTTTAGGGGAGAATACATGTGCTATATATATTTATTGATCTTGATAAACACTTACCGATTTCAAAACTAGTTATTAAATATTATTTTGTTAAATTATTTTATTTACAAATAAACTACTAATAACTATGTTTTATGTAAATATGTTACAACTGTTTCTAAATAATACAACTAGTCGAGACAAATGATTTCTGCATACAAAATATTATGATTTTATGACAAAATATGTTATTAAACTTATGCCATAAAAAGTTACCACCTTTGTAGTATTTCAATTTCATACCAAACATACATGTACGAGTTATCAAACTCTTATCTTGAAATCATTTATGTACTGTGTACACTACCATGAGATTTACCAATTGTTTAAACGAGCATTACACATTTTTATGGATTTTCCTATCGAGTATAACCGGTTTTTCATGACAAACTCTAGTTAAGGGCCTTATGAGTGAGACATTATTCATTACCCTAAGTGTAAATAAACACTTAGAATACCCACACCACTATAACCGTTAATCTTCGGAGCTAAGATATGTATGTATAGATCTATACGGGTAGACATCCCCACCCGCGGTTGCTTGCTACAACCTCGACCGATCAATCGAAGCGGGTGATAAATATCTAAAATAGTTTTACGACGTCCAATGAAGCGTCGTAGGGGTAGGTACAGTCACATAGCTCGGTTATAGGACTCACTATAATCATTAACCAGATCTCATAATCTAGAAACCACGGATCCGGTTTCTCTGGTTATCAAATATTTTGAGTATGGATTTACGCAGGGTTTTCTTTGAGTACCAAACATTTTGAGTATGGATTTACTCACGGTTTTCATTGAGTACCAAACATTTTGAGTATGGATTTACTCATGGTTTCTCTGATTATCAAACATTTTGAGTATGGATTTACTCACGGTTTTCTTTGAGTACCAAACATTTTGAGTATGAAATTACTCACAGTTTCTCTGATTACTAAACATTTTGAGTATGAATTTATTCACGATTCTTTGAGTACCAAACATTTTGAGTATGGATAAACTCACGGTTTATCTGATTACTAAACATTTTGGGCATGGATTTAATTATGAAGTTCTGTTTTATCAAACATTTTCAAACATGGCTTAAACTATAAATGGAATACTTTTTAATATTTTAAAGTATCATTACTATTGTTAGCAGAAAACCTGCGAACTCTCACCAACCTTATGTTGACCCTCAA